CCTGGGAAGAGAAACTCTGGGTGTCTGAGTGGTGAAGGCTTTTTCTCAAAAGCAAAACCAAACAAAGGCCATCAAGATAATTCATGAGAGAAAGGTGCTTGCTCCAAGCCTAATACATGAGTTCAATCCCAGGGACCCACATGCTGGGAGAATATCGTGACTCCCATGGTTGTCCCTAACCTCCACACATGTGCACATAATAAATATAATACTTTTTCAAAAAAATACATAAATGAAAATCTGCAACCTGGTACCTGGGACAGGTAAGGGAAGAAGTTATGGTGAGATTTGTTCTCAGCCCTCCCATTCTCCAAGCCATCTGATAAACAGCCTACACACGGTTTCTATTGGGGACATTCAAAGCCATGGTATAGGAGGGAGAAAGTCAAGGGGAATGGAAAGAATGAAGTGACCTAAGGCCACACATTTCCATGATGGGCACTGCTTCATGACCAACACTGAAGGTGTGTCTGCTTGCTGGTTGGGGGGTCTCCCACAGACTGTTCTATCAGGGGGCAAACATGCCTTGCAACAATTCATGGGGATAGAGGAGAGGAGAATTGCTACCTGCCTCTACCCTACCTCCCCTCCACTGAAGTTCTCCCCATGAATATTAATCTCCTCACAAGGGTTGATTTTCCTGGCCCCATGGAATGTCAGATGCCATGTCGTACAGTGGGGCATCCCGTAGAAGACCTGGGAAGAGAAACTCTGGGTGTCTGAGTGGTGAAGGCTTTTTCTCGAAAGCAAAACCAAACAAAGGCCATCATGACTGTTCATGAAAGAAAGGTGCTTGCTGCCAAGCCTGACAACCTGAGTTCAATCCCAGGGACCCACATGCTGGAAGAATATTGGTGACTCCCATGGTTGTCCCTGAACTCTACAGATGTGCACATAATAAATATAATACATATTTTTAAAAATACATAAATGAAAATCTGCAACCTGGTACCTGGGCCAGGTAAGGGAAGAAGTTATGGTGAGATTTGTCCTCAGCCCTCCCGTTCCCCAAGCCATCTGATAAACAGCCTACACACTGCTCTTATTGGGGACATTCAAAGCCAAGGTATAGGAGGGAGAAAGTCAAGGGGAATGGAAGGAATGACGTATCCTAAGGCCACACATTTCCATGATGGGCACTGCTTCATGACCAACACTGAAGGTGTGTCTGTGGGCTGCTTGGGAGGTCTCCCACAACTGTGGTATCAGGGGGCAAACATGCCTTGCAACAATTCATGGGGATAGAGGAAAATTGCTACCTGCCTCTCCCCTTCCTTTTCTCCACTGAAGTTCTCCCCATGAATATTAATCTCCTCACAAGGTTTGATTTTGGTGGCCCCAAGGAATGCCAGATGCGGTGTCCTAATGTGGGGCATTCTGTAGCCGACTTTGGAAGAGAAACTCTGGGTGCATGAGTGGTGAAGGCCAGAGAGTCTGATGTAGAGTATGATGTGTCTAGTACCTTCTAGCACTAAGATATCTTTCCCATGGTCTGGCCCTGGAAATGGTGGAATACCCTGGGAGAGAACATGGGTTGCATGGAGCAGGCATGAGAGTGTTTCCTGCTAGGGATTGACAGGAGAAAAGAACTTTCTAAGTAATCCAGTCTATGGTTCCATCTTCTCATCTGGCTAAATGGGGGAAGTCAGTAATCCCTGAGAGGCGAGGGCACCAGAGTTTGAGGAATCCACGATGGTGTCAAAAGGTTCATGTGGGTTTCCCCATCACTTCCTGTCTCTATCTGAACTTTTACCTACCCCAGAGATGACCCAGTCTTGGGCAATAGGGTTTTGGGTTTGAGAATCCAGGAAAGGGAGCTAAAGCCTCTGACCAGGAGCAAGAGGACCACCTATCTGTCCATCTGTGGGTCCACTGTTGGTCTTAGGTGTCAGGAAATCTGATGAGTAAGTGTTTTTTTGGTGTTGCTTGAGATGGTCAGATCTCATGAACTGCTGGCCACAGTCCTTGCATTTATGTGGTCGATCTCTGGTGTGGATCCATCCATGCCGTCCAAGCTCATCAGAGCGGAAGAAAGACCATGTATAGCCCTCCCAGTCACATATGTAGGGCTTCTCACCTGTGTGTTTGCGTTGGTGATTCATGAGGTGAGAGCGCTTGGTATAAGCTTTTCCACAGTTGTTGTATGAACAGGGGTAAGGCCTTGAAAGTGGGGGAGGCTTCCTGCGTGCCCATCCTGGAACCCTGGGGTTCTCTGTTCCCCGTGGGCTTTTCATGAATGAAAGGTTCTTCCAGGCGATTTGACTGGGTCTCAAATGAGTCCTGGGATTCTAAAGCTGGCAATGGCTGGAGCCCAGGTGGAGGTATCCCAGGGTGGTAGAGATTTAAGGTCAATGTCTGATCCATAGAGGGGGACATGGTCTGGGTCACAGTGGAAGGCATGCCTGGGACCAATAATATTCCGCAATTTAAAGAGCCCATTGTAGCAGGTACTACTGAGGAGGCAGAATAAGGCATTGTTGCGGCACTGCTGTGGGCCATTACTGGGACTCCACTAGAAGTTGAGCCTGGCAGGCCACTGCGAGGCATCAGATTCGCTCTAAAGGCTATGGTCACTCCCAGAATACCTGGACTCCCTAAGGGCAGCATGTGGGATCCTGAGTCAATCATTCTCCCTGGTTGGTGGTTAGATGGTGTCTGGGGAGGAGGAGGAGTCAGTTGGGAGGTGCTGGGAACCAGCCTCAGCAGTTTCAGGGGTCCGAAGGATGGAATACCTGGAAGGCACAGTAACGACTCAGGGACAGTGTTTGTGCAAGGTGACAGGTCACTTCGGGCTTCTGCAGTTGCTAAGTAGCTTCTGCTTTTCCTTGGTAACCTGTCTTTTATTATCACAAGCAAGGGGAAACAGGAAGGAAAGGGGAACCCACCCAATATGAAGTGTTCTCATAATTCCAAAGGTTATTCTTACAAAATCACCAATATACTCTTCATAATCTCTGATTAAACACAAAAACTATCCCAGACTTAATGCCAGAGCAAGCACAATCTACTTTTATTCTTTTTTTCTTTTTTTTTTTTTTTTGGTTTTTCAAGACAGGGTTTCTCTGTGTAGCTTTTCATCTTTCCTGGAACTCGCTTTGGAGACCAGGCTGGCCTCAAACTCACAGAGATCCGCCTGCCTCTGCCTCCGAGTGCTGGGATTAAAGGCGTGCGCCACCACCGCCCGGCCTATTTTTATTCTTTAATGATTATACAATCTTCTGAGCATTTGACCCAGAAGCTAGAAACATGCAGCTTCACAAAAACAGGTAAAAATAATGTACCAGACAGTCATTTCCTTCTCACACAGTCTGCTCTGACCTCAAGACCCCTGCAGCCGCCTAAGTTTCTCCTCAGCCCTCTGCAAACACCAAGCCCCATGACTGGTGGGCCACAATGACCTCGACAAGAAATCTGCCCTGAAAGTCAGCAACTTCTGTCCTTCTATATCCAACAATTCCAAGGAAGACCTGATCCAACTTTCAGAGCTTCCATGAAAGGAAGATCACCTTTCTTTGTAGCTCTTTTTTATCTAGGAACCCAATAAAACTTGCAGCAATCACTCCAACTATTGATACATTGTCTACACACTTTTTCAGGAAGAATCAAAATATGTGGATTAAAGTTGCCATCTCCCTTTCTTGGTGGAGGCCAACATTTTCCTCCTATTCTAGGTTCCCACACTTTTAGTTTGTCATCCCATCTATATGTTACTCCATCCACAGTCTTCAGCCAGTACCCCTTAGGGTCTCAAGTTTCACACAATTCCCTTGGAATATCCTCAGAAACTGAATTATTCATCACGGCCAAATTGAATCCAGTGTGTTGATACACATCATACCATGTGCTATAGTTGACCACACATTTGGTACAGGTTATCCAAGCCTGAAGAACTTCCGCAGGCTGTAGGTTCTTTCCCATGACCTGCATAACTGCCATAACCCCAGCCTGGGTGATCACCTCTGTATAATTTCCTGTGAAATTTACTTCACTCCTTTCCTGTATCACAGAAATCACCATTGATTCAGGAACACAGAACATGAAGATCAGATAGGAGAAAAAGATTAGCATCACAAGAAGTAGTTATATGGAGGAGACTGTGACATGTGCATGCCACAAAGCATGACCTTGGGACATGTAGGCATTTCTGCCTTGGCTTCTAGAGGCATGCAAAGCAGAAGATCTGGAGGGGAAAGCTTGGAGGGTTGGCGGTCCACAATCTTGGGTCCATTATCTCCAGTTTTGGCTGGCAGCATGTCAGGCATCTTATATGCCATCCCTGGCAGGGAGGAGTACCTCCCACTATGCTCAGGTAGTGACATGATGAACTGTGACTCCCCTTCACCCTCATTCTGCCTGGATTCCTCAGCAGATAACATAAAAGGCCTTGACATCCTTGATAAATGTTGAGTGGCTGGTGGCTGATGAACTCCACTATTTCCAGGAGACACAGATACATACAATGTTGGTGTTGACTGCTCATTATCCATAGGAGACTGATGCACAGCTGGCCACCTATTTTCCTCCTCCATGTCAGCCCAGACCTCACTTCAGACCAAAGGGGAGGCTGACCCGGCTGGTGCCATCACTGGCGAGGGTCCCAACACCACCACTATCCCCTTTGACTGTATTTGAGACCAGGTCTCTCATTCACTCCTGAATACAACTGACTAGCTGGTCCACAAGCCTTTGGGGATTCTCCAGTCTCTGCTTTGCTGACATTACAGATGTGTCTCTGCCATGTCAGTTTATACCTGAGTCCTGGGGATTCAAACTCAGGTCCTAACACTCTCACAGCCAGGACTTTACCACAAGCCATCACCACACAGTCCATTTGTTGTTGTTTTCCTTTAAGGATATTTTTTCTAAATTTAGTGTGTACGTGTGTGATTATAGGTCATGTGTATTCATGTGGTCATTAAAGTCCTAAGAGGGCATTAGATCCCTGGGATCTGGGGTTGTAAGAAATTATGCCTAAGAGGAAAATTCATAGCATTAAATGCCCACATAAAGAAGTTGGAGAAATCTCATACCAGTGATTTAACAGCACACCTGAAATCTCTAGAACAAAAAGAAACAAACTCACCCAGGAGGAATAGACACCAGGAAATAATCAAATTGAGGACTGAAATCAATGAAATAGAAACAAAGAGAACAATACAAAGAATCAATGAAACAAAGAGTTGGTTCTTTAAAAATCAACAAGATAGACAAACTCCTAGCCAAATTAACCAAAAGGCAAAGAGAGAGCATCCAAATTAGTAAAATCGGAAATGAAAAGGGGGACACAACAACAGATAATGAGGAAATCCAGAGAAGCATCAGGACATACTTCAAAAACCTGTACTCCACAAAATTGGAAAATCTGAAAGAAATGGACAATTTTCTGGATAGGTACCACATACCAAAGTTAAATCAAGACCAGATAAACTATTTAAGTAGTCCAATAACCCCTAAGGAAATAGAAACAGTCATTAAAAGTCTCCCAACCAAAAAAAGCCCAGGACCAGATGGTTTCAGTGCAGAATTCTACCAGATCTTCAAAGAAGACTTAATACCAATACTCTTCAAATTGTTCTACACAATAGAAAAAGAAGGAACACTACCAAACTCTTTTTATGGCTACAGTTACCCTGATACCCAAACTACACAAAGATGCAACAGAAAGAGAACTACAGACCAATCTCCTTCATGAACATTCATGCAAAAATACACAACAAAATATTGGCAAACCGAATCCAAGAACACATCAAAAAAATTATCCGCCATGACCAAGTAGGTTTCATCCCAGGGATGCATGGATGGTTCAGCATATGAAAATCTGTCAATGTAATATACCATATAAACAAACTGAAAGAAAAAACCGAGGTTGGGGATTTAGCTCAGTGATAGAGCACTTGTCTAGCAAGCGCAAGGCCCTGGGTTCAGTCCTCAGCTCCAGAAAAAAAACAAACAAAACAAAACAAAACAAAACAAACAAACAAACAAACAAAAAAACCACAATCATCTCATTAGATGCTGAAAAAGCCTTTGACAAAATCCAACATCCTTCCAAGATAAAGGTCTTAGAGAGATCAGGAATACAAGGAACATACCTAAACCTAATAAAGGCAATTTACAGCAAGCCAACAGCCAACCTCAAATTAAACAGAGAAAAACTCAGTGATTCCACTAAAATCAGGAACAAGACAAGGCTGTCCACTCTCTCCATATTTATTCAATATAGTACTTGAAGTTGTAGCTAGAGCAGTAAGACAACAAAAGGAGATCAAGGGGATACAAATTGGCAAGGAAGAAGTCAAGCTTTCACTATTTGCAGATGATATGATAGTACACGTAAGTGATCCCAAAAATTCTACTAGGGAACTCCTACAGCTGATAAACTCCTTCAGTAAAGTGGCAGGATACAAGATCAACTCAAAAAATCAACAGCCCTTCTATAAACAAATGATAAAAGGGCTGAGAAAGAAATCAGAGAAACATCACCCTTTACAATAGCCACAAATAATATAAAATACCTTGAGATAACACTAACTAAATAAGTGAAGAACCTGTATGATAAGAGTTCATCAGAAAGTTCACAGTGGAGAAAAAAAGCCTATGCATGTAATGAATGTGGAAATCCTTCAGCAGCAAAGGAGCCTATATAAAAAGCTCCACATTGGGCAAAAACCTGAATGTGGAAAAGCCTTTGCTGAGCAGCCATATCTTGATGGACACCAGGAAAGATTTCACACTAGGTAGGGACTTTTAGCACTTCAAAAATATGGGAAACTTCTGTCAGGGACCAAACATGAACCATGGAAAAGTACTAGCTAGGCCAGAGAGCAAGCCCCTGCCCTAAACCAGATGCCCCCAAAGATAAAGAACAGGTCAGGCAGGCCAGGTAGCATAGCAACAGAACAATGGCCTCTGACCAGTGACCTTACCATCTAGAACAACACCCTCATGACTCGCCTGCACGTACGGCACGTCACGTCGTGCACCACTTCCTTCCTTCCTTCCTGCCTCCTCCCCCTCCATTTATAAGCCTTGCTGAGGAGAATAAAACTTGCAGCAAGATCAGAACACTGTCTTGCTGTCTTCCTTTCGTGTCTCCCCGTCCCTTTCACTCTCTCCCACAGGTGGGTCGCCCCCGTTGACACCCCGCTGGCCCGGGGCAACTGGCGCCCAACGTGGTGGCTCGACCCTCGCCTCTTTGGGAGTTGAACGTCCTTCTCCAGGAAAGCCCAGAGGTCTGGTGGAGATATTTTTGCTGATCGTCCGTTGAGACCGCCCGATTCGACGCCCTTTCTTGACGATCCCGAGGAGAGCGGGAAGGACGAGGTTAGTCTAAACTTAGGCTTAACCATGGGACAGGGAAGTTCTTCCCATGATCTTTTCATTAAGGGCATTAAAGAGGCCCTCAAGACACGAGGGATAAGGGTTTGTAAAAAAAAAGACCTCAACAAATTCTTTAGTCACTTAGAGGACTGTTGTCCCTGGTTTCCCCAAGGGATGGTTGATGTTAATGATATCCTAAAGGTTTATAAAAAAAAAAAAAGTTAAAAAAAAAAAGATTTAGGAGACCCCTAAAAGCTGCCAACCTTATGAAATTCATTTAACGTCAGACTATGATAAGCGACAGAGATTCTAACCCCTCCCTTTTAGGGAGAAACCTGCCGTTACTTCATTCAGGTAACATAATATTATCAACTACCAGACCTCCTGAGAGTGTAAACTAGAGTTAATGAAGTTCACTATGTTCTCCGTAGCAGCAGTGTCCTGCTACAAACAAGTTTTTCTTTGTGCTAAAACTAAATGGATCTAAGGACCAACTTGAGCCTAAACTTCTAAATTACTAACTAGGAGCTCACTCCAGCAGTCATCATTTAAAACAACTGCTACAAAAAAAAAAAAAAATCCTCCTTTGTTTTACTGTGCTTATCTCATTTCATGATACACCTTAAAGGATTTATTAAATTGTTACTCTCCTTATATACTATACTTTAAATAAGAGTTCCTGTTTCTATATTAAAATAACTTAATATTTTTAAGGCTAAAGCTGACAGGTATAAAACCTAAGTTCTAAGTTTATTAAGACAACTAACTTATAAATTGTTAAAAATAAGTTTACTTTAATTAAAGCTAATTAAAAAATAAAACTTGTTGATTGAGTGGCTGACCTAAACTGTAAACTGTTAAGGATAAGTTGTACTTAAGCTATAAGCAATTAGAGATAATTATTAGGATACAAATTAAGGGTTAATCATCATAAATGATCAAATCTTCGAATGTATGCAAAATCGTATTATATACATGCTGAGTATGCTAAATTTCATATAATCAATTCATTACTTAGCCCCCTAGCATTTAAAATGTTTAAGCTTTGGACAAAACTGCCATACCCCTTATTGCCAGGGTTTTGTCCAAACTATGCATTGAGATCATTTAGATTATATCCCCATTTACCAGGCCTAAAAGATAATTTGCCTTGCTATCCAAATTCATAGAAAAGGTAGCTTGCCAAACAGATTTCAAAATTAACTTTGTTCCTTTGTTTAAAGGAATTCACCACATTGGCTGCTCTCAGTAATCAATCACCTATATCTCCTGATAAATTAAATAAAAAAACGCTTTTAGATGTAAAGTTTTTGTAGGATATAAAGGATTAGATATAAAAAATGTTTAAGAACGATAAGAAACAATTTATTACATATGTAACGCAAGTAATTGGGATAGAGAAATATAACATATAAACATCTAGATATGTTATAAATGATACATAAATCTCAATAAGTAACCTAAAGATATTGAGGATGTATGCCTAAGTTATCTATGGATAAGGTTTTTATTGAGGACTGAGATAGATATATAGGCTTTAAAAATAAACTTATATATACCTTAATACAAAAGACCATGGACTTCCTCAGAAGGGACACTGAGGCTAATTATAGGCCATAGCTCCTCGGCTGTACAAGGTTGCCCTAGGGATGTGTGATTCTGACTTTCCTGGAGAGATTAAGATCATTGTACAATTCAGATTTATACAGGGCAGCACCTAAGGGAGCTGCTGGTGTGGATTCTAGTGATATGACCTTCTGGGTTCAGGAAATTAATTATTCCAAACAACTAAACACTTAAAATACAGGGAAAAAAAGATAATTGGCTTGCTAGACATAAACATAGATGTTTCTTATATTTCAAAAAAAGATTGGCCAAGTACTTAAGATGACTATTACTTCTTCGTCTCTTACAGGCCTATGTCAAGTTAATAATGTAGCCAGAAGGTCAGGAAAATCTAATGCTCCTATCTGGATCAAACAATGGCTTTTAAATGCTGAGAAAAATTATAATTGCTACCTGTCTGGTGGAGGAAAAACTTAAATATTGGGCATATAAAGTCCCCCACCAGCCCTTAAATCACCCCAATATCTTTTTATTTAGGAAAATCAGGCTTATAGACTGTTACAGGTCCTTTAAAAATTAAATAAAATTTCTTAAAGCCAAGGAAAGTCTCACAGCGTGGCTTGCCATCTCCCAGGGCCATCCCCAGAAATAAAAAAAAAACAAAACAAAAACAATAATCGCCATAGATATACAAGATTTCTTCTTTACCATACCCCCTCAATCTAAAGATTGTCAGCATTTCGCTTTTAACTTGCCTACTCACTCTACCATGATGGAGGCCAAAGCTGACATACAGAGCAGGAAATGAGAGTTCTGTTTATCCAGGACTCATTCATTGAGCAAAGTTCCTCATTATATACACAGATTAACTGTCAAAACTGTCAATTATAGCTTCCTCACAGTCCCCCAACCTATATGTATGTATACATGTATATGTATATACATATATCTTACAATACATTTATTGTACAGATATTATATTTATATCAAACTATAAAACTTGTGAGTCTATACAATGGCAA